CAAGAAATAGTTGAGGCTCTGTTATGAGCGAAACACTATACTACATGCTGGGGACATAGCAAGAAGCAAAACAGGAAAAACCCTCTGCCCTCATAGAACTTACAATCTAGCAGGGATCAGAGAAAAAAATCAATTCTATAGTAGAATATAGTTGTCCCCCACTGTATCCATGGATTCTGCATCTTCATACTAGGCCAATTGTAAAAATATTTGGGAAAGAAATTGCATCTGTAATGAACGGGAATGGATATTTTGTTATTTTTCCTAAACAATATAGCAAAACAACTATTTATATAGAATTTATATTATGTATTATAAACCACCTAGAGATGATTTTAAAACATACAGGATGATACACATATATTATACACAAATATAATACATTTATGTAGGGACTCGAGCAGCCTTGAATTTTGCTATCAGCAGAATTCTATAACCAACCTTCTTATGGGACAACTGTATATAATCTCAAAACCATCATGACCTAAGTTGACAATAAAGAATTCAAAATGTATAGCTGAAACTGCATTGAGTTGACCACTTTTGCTCCACAATCCAACAGATGTGAGTTTAAATCCTGTCCCCACATTCATTATTTACTTCTCTGAGCCTTAGCAAAATACCCTCCATCCCAGCTCCAGAGAAATAGATGAGGTGATGGATCTGAGTCTATCCCAGAGTTAAGGTTTGAGTTCTGGTCTTGTCCTTGTCCTGTGTTGTCTGTGAGATAAAGTTACAGGCCTTGTGATAAGCAGAACTGTAATTAGTGTCACTCAGTCCATTAAGCCCAGATACACATCAGACTTCCAGGTGGGTGACCAGAACACGTGGGCCCATCCCGTCCCAAAATGTTCCTGTTTTAGAAGTCATAGATAAGCCAAGGTTAATGATGTCAACCATACACTATTGCATGTGTCCTGCTTCCTATTGTATCAACATTAGCTAAGTAGCTACACTTGTGGTTTTATTGGCTGATTGTAATTTGACCTATATTGTGCCCACACTTGTAACTTTGCTGTATAAATTACCCCCTGACAAAGGGACTTGGTAGCAACACACTTTTGGAACCTCTCCTGTCCCTCAGGAACTATTCCTATTCGTCAATAAACCTTTCCCACTCTTAAAAATATAACTCAAATTTTTTTAAGTTGCTCACCGTAAGGCACACAGCAAGCTAAGCCACAGCCATCTTCGTCTGTGCTTCTCATGTGCTTCTGCAGGATGCCAGTGAGGAGACACAAGAACACTTTATTCTGGTTTCTATCATAGGGGCCGCAGGTTTGCTAAGTAGTCATAGCAAACCAATGGAAACCAGAGAATGTGCAGAATGAGGGGAGCAGAGAAGAAGGCGTGGGATCGTTGCTCACTGATTGGACACAAGGCCAGACACCTGTAAGTTAGAGGAAGAAAGGTTTAGTTGAGCTCACAGTTTGAAGTGTTTCTATCCATAGTCAGCTGGCTTCAAGGCAGGATAGCCTGGCAGAGGGGAAACAGTTCACAGCAGGGGAGGCAGGAAGCAGCATGGGGAACAGGGGAAGCTGGTGGATCTATATTCCTCGCAGGCCACAGCCATAGTGACCCACCTTCTCCCACCAGGCTTTTCCTCCCAGCACCACACCTAGGCACATCTAGGAACCTTCCAAAAGCTCCCTATGAGTACATGAGGCTTTAGAGGGACATCTAGATATAATCCATTGGGACTGGGGAGATAGCTTAGTGGTGTAGGCACCTGCCTGGCATGTGCAAGGACCTGGGTTTGATCCCCAGTACTGCATGCCCTGCCAGCCCCTGAACTCCGGGCATGCTGTGCCAGCCACCAAAACCAGGCATGGTGGTACACACCTATAGTCCCCCCACTGGGGAGACTGAAACGGGATCACTAGGAGTCTGAGCTGCATAGCAAGATCCTGTACCAAATAAATAAATAGCAGATTAAAAATTTTTAAATAAAAAGTAGAGATACACCATCCAACCTTGCAGTCACCACAACCTCCGTCAGGAGGTTCCCTCCCTGGACCATCGCTCTTGGCCTGCTCCACCCCTTCATCTAGCCACCACCTCCAAGTTCTCAACACACCACATTTCACACCACACTTCCTGTGGTTATACAGGCCAGCATCCTTCAGCCTGTGCAAATCCTGGACTCCCATCCTCCCACTTCCCTGTCCAAGGGAGAAGGCTGGAGGCCCCTGTATACTGTCTTTCCATGCTGCTGAACCCTGCCCTTATTGAGGTCCAGGGCCACTATACACATAGAATGCTATGGCCCTGCAGCCTCTTGTCAGGGAAGGACAGAGACTACCAAGAAGCTCTGGTCAACCTTGGCCTCTGCATCTGCTTCAAAAGAAATGACTTCCAAGGCCTTAACGTGGTCTACCTTGTGCCCATTGTCCTCTCTGAACCATGAGATTTCAGCCTCTGCACCTTCTTTCCCAGCCTTAAGGCTTAGACTTGGAGCCCTCCACAGCTCCCCTTGGGCTGCCTCTCCTCATCCCACCTCTGCCTTTTCCCCTCTTGCGCCTCAGCTGCTGCTTTGTGCACTGGGCCGCTGGGCCTCCAACACAGCACTCTGCTACTTCCCTCCAAAGCACAGATTATAATCTGCAACTTATGTCTCTCTGTGTGTATAACTCCTCTTTACTCTTTTCTATTAGTTTTTGTTTTAGTTTGGGTTTTTGTTTTTGTTTTTGAGAAAGAGTCTTATTACATTATCCATGCTGACCTCAACCTTGCGCTCCTCCTGCCTCAGCCACCTGAGTGACTCAATTACAGGCATGTACTGCCATACCCAGTTGCCATTAGGTTTTTAATCATGCAAAAGCAGTAGGCAGTGCTGCTATCTTATTTACCTGGAACATCACAGTATTTAATAAGTGTCTGAATAAATGAATACAGGAACAAATGGATTTCTCTTAGCTCTTCCGCCTGTGGGCACCATCGAAGCACGAGCTTGGCTGAACGTTGGGCCAGCTGATAAAGCTTCCTGAAGACAGACATGGAATCGGGTTCCCCAGCATGTGGCACAGCTCCTGGCATACAGTAGGCACACAGAAGTATCAGTGCCGAAGGAACAGTAAACCAGTATCCTGTGGCAATGAGCTTATCAGGTCCTACCTGGTATTCTGTGCCTGGAGAGTCCCTGGGGCTGACTATAGGAAGAGAGACTTAGTTATAAAGCTGAACCTGGCTCAGTCATTGACAAACTCGTCCGTGTCCTGTTTTAACTCACTTCTTCTCCCATTCAGTCATTTTGGGGAAAGTGACAAAAGGTACCAGGCAGTGTGTTCACACCTCGTTCCTCAGTGTGATCTCTAGACCAGCCTTGCCTCCTACCAGGAAGCTTGTGAGAAGTACAGATTCTCCAGCTTGCCCCAGACTTACTGGATCAGAATCTGCCTTTCTATCAAGATTACAGACAGTTGGCATGAATGTTAAACCTTGAGAAACACCAAGCTATCACAAAAGATAGACCCTGAGTCTATCCTGGAACTAAAAGAAGGCATCGTGTGGATAAAGGGCTTCGACTGAGTGCTGACGATGTGGGAAAAACATTGCAAAAGCTTTGAATCCAGAGAAATTCACCTAGAAGAGTCAAGCATATCTTGTAACCTGCTTAATGGTTTTGCAACTTTGTTTTGAGCACAGCAGGAAGCTTGGGAGTGGGGCTTTATAAAAAAGAGTAGGCATGAACGAACTGGCCCTGTCCCTGCTTGAGGAAAGTCCTAATCTTGACAGGCAGTAACAACCTTTGTAAACCCTGATTATGTCATCTCCATGAAATCTCCGCCTCTGATCTTAAACCACTCTTCAGTTTCCTGCCTTACCTTCCTTGAGCAATCAGCACAAAGCCCTGGAGTCCAGGCTTTATCTATCCACGAGAGTCCTGCAAGGAGAATATCTTCATTCTACAGCCTTGTCCCCTTCAGCCATATGGTCCTCCTTTGGGAGCTGTAGCATGGTGCTCCAGGTAACAGAGATAAGCCCTTCTGCTTAGTGTTTCTTTTTTTTTAGACATGGCCTCACTTTGTAGTGCTGGCTGCCCTTGAACTCACTGTATACCTAAGGCTGGCCTCGAACTTGTGGCATGCCTCCTGCCTTATTCTCCCAAGTGCTGGGATTACAGGCATGCGCCACCATGCCTGGCTTTCTTTTCTTAGTCTCCAAATGCATGTCGGAGATGCTCAATGTTGGATTAAAGTTTCTAAACTGAATCTTGGGTCACTTCTTCTAGCACTGTACAGGAGGCCAATAGAGGCTGTACAAGAGTGCAGGTAGAGACCTGGGCTGAAGACCTGGCTCAACCACTTGCTTGCTACATGCCCTTGGGCAAGTTTTTTAACATATCTGATCTGCTTTCTAGAAACTAAATCTCTGCTATATAAGGATATTGTGATGGCTAAGCATAAATTTAGTATTTGATTTATTAAAAAATATGCATTAAACACCTACTATGTATTGGCCCTTTAAAGAGCTTTGTAGGAAAAATAAAAAAATAAAGAGCTTTGTAGGAATCCTAGAGTGGATATTGTTGTTCTTTTTTTTATATTTTGTTTGGTACAGGGTCTCACTACACAACTCAGACTTGTAGTGCTCCTCCCGTCTCAGCCTCCACAGTGCTGGGATTACAGGCTTGCACCACCATGCCTGGTTGCGGTGGCTGGCTCATCGCCAGGCCAGCACATCATGCAGTACCAGGGTCCTTGTGCTTGCCAGGCAGGTGCTTCGACTGCCGAGCCATCTCCCTGGCCTCAAGAATGGGTAATTTTAGACAAGAAGCCTGCATTATGAAACTTACCAGCCCAGAGGAGGAAAACTTCCTTAGTGGAACTATCACCCAAATAAGTATTAAGTGATCAATGTAATACGTGTTTTGAGGAAAAAAAGCTGAAAGAGTAAAAAAGTGAACCAAACCAGCCCAGAAACTTAGGGAGGCTCATCCAAGAAACTGACCGATCATGCCATCTTTTTCTCATGGGTCGTCACTCTGTGCCTCTTTTCAGGTACCTAGAAGGAAACCAGTTAACGGCGGTGCCCAGAGAGCTGTCTGCCCTCCGACACCTGACACTTATGTAAGGACCCGGATGTTGGGCGGGACATATATTTTTGACTCCCGGGCTAACTCATAAAACTGGTGTGGTGGGTAAGAGATAAGAGTACTGCTGGGTGAGGCACTCTTTCCTAACTTTTCTTCCTGCAGGGGAGGGGGGGAGAATGCAACAAAGAGGAAGAGATGCCCAAATGTACCCATACAGAGCTCCCAGAGCCTGGTGCCATGAGCCGACCGATCTGGCGTCTTGCTTGACTTTTGGAAGAGACAGGCCTCTGACTTTCCAAAGTCCAAGCTGAACTCCTGAGCCTCCTCTGTCTCCAGCTTTTTACAAGCTGCAGCTGTGCTTACATTTGCCAACAGCATAAAGTGGGCATTTCTCCCTTCGCCTCCTTTAATTCCATGTGAAACATCCAAGTAGATGCTTCGAACCGAGGATCCTTCCTTCAGGTGGTAGCTGCTACTGCCTCCAGGTCTTCCAAGACCTAAAAAGCCTCTAATGGGAAGCAGGGGTGCTGGGTGTGGGCCAAGCTCAGGACGCCAGGCAGCCTGCTGCCTTGCCACAATGGGGCCTGGGAGGGGGCAGAAGAATTTTCAGGGCAGGCGATAATTGAAAGATGTCTGGGTCTGCTTAGGAGGGCAGGGGGCCAGTTCACAGGAAGAAAATGAGGGCTCTTTCACCGTGAAAGAGCATCACTCTTTGGAAAGAAGCAGCCCACTGATGAAAGGTAGGAAAAAAAGCCATCTGTGTTTGGCCTAGATTCTTGGACACCCTCAAACCAGTGTCTACAGGAAAGCACTATGGACATTTGAAGCCAGATAGTTCTTGGATGTGGAAACTGATGTGGATATTGTGGAATATTTATGAGCATCCCTGACCCCTACTAGATGCCAGTGGCACTTCTACCAGTAGTGACAACCAAAAAGGTCTTCAGACTTTGCCTAATGTCATTGGAAAAGCAAAAGTTCTTCTAGTTAGGAGGCACTGCTCTATAGCTGTGGTTATAAATGTCAGCTGATTAAAAGATTCCAAAGGAGGAGGAAAAAGAGAAAGAGTTGTTTTTAATACTTATACTAAATCCCACCCTGGACCATTTAAGTCAGAATATCTGGCCACAAAACTCAGATATCAGAGAATTTAAAAGCTCTCCAGGGGATTCAAACGTGGAGCTGGTGCTGCCACTGCTCTGGGCGATTATCTACAAGGAAAAGCTGCAGATCCATTTATCCCAGCTCATCAGAGTCCCTCGTCCAAGGAATGGCGTTGGTGGGGGTATGGGTAGGTAGACGGACTGATGGACGGATCAGTGGATGGATGACCATGTGAGTAGTGGGTGAGAGTAGGCGGACAGACAGGAGGAGGATAGGAGGCTGGGTGGGAGGATGAGGGATGGATACATAGGTGGGCAGATGAATGAATTTATTGGTGGAATTCATGAGTGACATTTCGGAATGGTCTGCTTCAGGTACAATTTTCATTAAACTTTGACTCTTCTGTTTGACTTTTCCCAGTGACCTGAGCAACAACAGCATCGGCATGCTGACCAATTACACCTTCAGCAATATGTCTCACCTCTCTACTCTGTGAGTACGGGGAGAGCCCATGTGCTCCACGCTCTTACTTATGGGTCTCCAGGCCTGGCACTCTAACCATCTTTGCCCCTCTATTCAGTTTTAAGTTCTCTGCTTTAGTGAGGTTGCCCAGCCATAAGCCTTTGCTGCCCAAAGGAAAATAAAGCAGGTTGCAACTTTACTGTCTAAGGCAGACAGAAAAACTGGGAGAAGCTGGAGCTTCATGAATCCTAGAGAAGGCATTGTAAAATAGCTTGCAGGATGTGTGACTTCTCTTTCCCAGTGGAGGGCTTCCCTACACAATTATATTTGCACAGATCCATTTCTTTTCCATTAGCTTTGCATGTCTAAGCAGACACCATCTGAGGAGAAAGAAGTCCCTGCAAGCTGGTGAGAGGGCCAGCCTGCTGCGGAACACAGTGGGAGCCCGGAGAGCTCAGGCTCTTCCCACTATCGTTAGGAGGCTTTTGTCAGTACATTAGGACTGGGACAATGAGGACACTTTTGGTCCTGACGGGTCCACAGTGTGAAGAGTGCACCGTAAGTAGTAAGCAAAGGACCAGCTAACAGACTCCTGTCTCCCTTTCCACAGGATCCTGAGCTACAACCGGCTGAGATGCATCCCTATCCATGCCTTCAACGGGCTGCGGTCCCTCCGAGTGCTGTGAGTACCCAGCCCAGTGCTGAGCTCCCCGGTACTGGGGAGCAGCAGGGGAAGTGCCGAGTACACCTGTCCTCGCTCTCCTTTGCCCCAGGCCCACACCTCCCTCCCAGCACTCCTGTGTGCTCAGAGAGGTCCAGAGAGAACCTCTGAGAGTGCATCACCCACTCCAGGGGTGCAGCCCACTACCGCAGTGGGACCTCAGGTACCTCACATAACTCTTCTGGGTCTCCTTCTCTTTATGTGTAAAATGGCAACTCCAGTGCTTCTCTTTTGAGAACAGGGCTGTGCTGCTACACCCTGCCCTTGGCAGTGAGCGCTGTGTGTGGCACGGAGCCTCACTTTGATGCTCAACTTGTGTGCCCATGTGGCATCTATGTGCAGGGCTGCCTCAATCTGGTCATCCTCTGGGAGGAAACAAGTTCACAGACCAAGATCACAGGAGCCTGTCCCAGCTCAGAAATTTGGCTCAGAGTATGTTTTACCAAAAGGTAAAGAAGTTTTAACCAGCTGCCAACATTTAAGTAGGGTCCTCCCTTCATCAGTCAGGGAAATCCTAATTTCACATTCTGTTAGAAAATTGAAAGTCCTGAGCTGGTGAGTTAGCTCTGCAGTCTAAAGCTTAGGCAGGCACACAGGGACCGCAGTTTGATTCCCAGCACAACATGCCACGCCAGCACCACCCCCAGAGTGGGCTGAGCCAGCCACAAAAAAAGGAAAAGAAAAGAGAAAAATTAATTGAAAGTCCTGGCCATGCAAGAACCCTGCCAAGCCTTTGGACAGGGCTACCCAGTCTGCAGCCTCCACATCTGTCCCATCCTTGTCATCTGCCTGGCCCTGTCCTCCAGTGGAGTAGGGCAGCCTACTTGAGGCAGACTCTGTATAAAATCAGAGGACATGAAACTGAAACCACCTGGTGTCCAGGTACAGCTCTATCCCTACCTCAGTGTGTGTCTCCTCTTCCATAAACTCAGATAATTATGGTAATTGCCTCCCAGAACTCTACAAGGCTGACATTAGATGCAGTCTGTAGAGGACTTCAGCAGAGCACTGGCCACTGTGAACACGGAGTAAACACCCAGCTGTTTTTACTATTCTCCCTTCGTAGCTCGCTAGGGCAGAAAGACACCCATCCTAGGCCCTATTGATCACCTGGTTTTGGTGCTTTTCCATCTTGCATTTATTTTATTTGTAAAAGATACTGTGAATGGATCCTTTGAATATCAATGAATGATATTCATTGAATGATATTCTCATGAGAATAGAGATGCCAGACACTCTGCCCAAACCTGTCAATCTCTTCCGTTTCTGGCCCATTATTACTATAATAGTAACCACCGTATCAATGGGGTTTTTCATGGCCATTTCTTCATGTAACCTTTTGTGACAAGGCAGTCAGCTTGAGCAGATAGCAATTTTAAAAATGGGGAAGTTGAGGCCCACATTGACATAGAAATGGGGAAACTGAGCTGAAGCAGATAACCCAGGTCTACTACTCAGTCACCATCCTGCTTCCTGATCCAGAGGCCCAGCACCCTGCCCTGGGCCTGCCAGCAGCCAGCAAGCAGCACCCAACAAGCTGGTCCATTCCAGCCAGAGGCTCCAGGCTGATGTGATTTATTGAACCCCACAAAACACCCATGTCAGCGACAACTCCCGCCACATGTCATCTGCGCTGTTATTAAAAATCAGTGCTCTGGGGGCAAAGAAGTACCCGCAGTGACAGTGTGCAATCTGTTACTGTCACTTATTTATTATCCACCTTCTCTGGGGAGTTTCAGAATGGAAACATCAGCAGAACCGTTTTCCCATTTCCAAGTGAACACAGCAGGAGGTGAGCGCGTCTCACTGGCCAGGGCGAAAGCTGGACCAGTGTCCCCTTCCCTGCTCCCACTCTCCCCTCTCAATCCCCATCTTCTGCCTGCCATCCCTGTATTAATGGTTCTGTCTGTGGGTTTGCAGATGGGGCTGCTACCAACTTTGAGCAGATCTGTGTGCATATGCTTTTAATTGAAGTTGTGACAACTCATGTAAGAGGGAGAAAGAAATCACATTGGCCTGTCTGTCTGCTCTCTACTAGGGTAGTAGGTGACATAACAGCCTGTCCAGGGTTTCTTCTCTGCCTGTATGTCCTTCCCTGGCACTCGTACTGCCATTAGTCAGTCTGAAATACACACGAACATACAATACCCTGGTGCCTGCTGCTTGACTTCAGAATTAGTAGGCTTTTGGCATCACTGTTTTAGAATCATGGGATCTTAGGGATAAAAGGAGATCTCTCAAATTCTCAATTCAGCCATCTATCTCAGTGGAGAGCAAACATTTACTGCATAAAGGCCAATTCAGGAAAAATAAAAGTGTTTACAAGCTACAATTTTATGATATCTGTATCCTTTCTCCTAGTAACTGCACATATAGGAATTTATGTTAAAGAATAATTCAAAATGAGGGAAATGTTCTATGCATTAAGATCTTTGTTGCACTGTTATTTTTAACCTAAGTTTTAAATATCACCTACAAGGGCCTAGGTGGGGAAATTTGTGAGGAAGCTATAATACAACCAGTCAGTGAAATATAGTTATTAAAAGAGGTAAAGAAGGACCAGAAAGATAGCTCAGTGGACTAAGCGCCTGCTTATGCAAGTACAGGGACCAGGGTTCCATTCCCAGTACCATATGTGGCACTGGCCTCCCCCCCAGGCACACTGAGCCACCACCAAGACTGGGCATGTTGGTATATGCCTGTAATCCCAGTGCTGGGGAGGCTGAGACAGGAGGATCGCTATGAGCCTGAGCTGCATACTAAGACCCTGTACCAAATACATTAAAAAAAAAAGTAAGCTAAAAGAAGTAAAGAAGAAAACTAGACAGCAGTGTGGGGGAGGGTTTTTTACACAGCATTTATATGAGTAAAGAAACGTAGATTAATTATAAGTTAACATTTATGTCTAGAAGATGCAACTTGTCTACAAGTTAGGGAGTAGAAGGAAGGTCTTTGAAATCAGGAGTTATTATCTGCAGCTGCATTTGTATAGCCTCTTGTTTCTGAAGATTTCTTTATTATGAAAATTTCAGAATTGATCAATGTTTAGTGTTTGATGGAAAGAAGAAGATGAATATTAAAAGTTTATCCATTCATAAAGGCCAAAAAGTGATCAGAAACCAATAGAAGACTTGGGATACACAGTATATATGAATGTGGGTGTGTGGTATTGGGGAGGTGTGGTGTATGTGTGTTGTGTAGTGCGTGTATGTGTGTGCTGTGCCTATGGATGATTTGTGTGTGCTGTGAGCGTATGTGTAGGGTGTGTTTGTGGGTGGGTATAAATGCATTTCAGTGCAAGAAACAGGAGGGTGGTCAGTATCCTTGAGTACAAGACACTATGTGAAAGCCTTTTCCTGCTTCACTAACCTAAAAATAGCTAGAAGAGCACATTCTTTTGCACACTGTAGTTCTTCCGGGACCCATGCACGCCCTGATCTTTGCCCCACACCGAGTCACATGCCTCACATGCGTGTGGTCCCCACTGTCACTCTCCATTCCCAGCCACCAGAGGCCACCTGGAACTGGTTAGCACCAGGGAGGCTGCTCCGTGTGCTTGCGAGGCAGCCAGTGGGGTTATCATTCATCATGCTCAGTATTTTTAGCTCCAACTCGCTGAAGCAAGACGGTGCCGTTTCCACACATGCAGCTTATAGACCACGTGAATCCTTCCTACGGCAAATGTCTCTGGGAAGGGCTCTATCTGCGCTTTGCGTCATTACCTTCCACACAAGGAGCTCACACACACACACACACACACACACACACACACACACAAACAACTGGACTGCACTTTGAGCCATTGTTAGACATCAGGAAATTCTCTAGGTGAGCAGGGGGTGACTCCCAGTATGAACCATGACCTGAGTTTGGCCTTTTTCATAGTTTTCCATCCAGACCTTCCATTTACAAGCTGAGGAGACCAATTCAGAAAGATTAGTGACTTTTCCCTTATTCATCCTTTCCTAAATGTGCTAAACTCAAGGTGGCAGAAGTCAGTGCATGAGCGACTGTGCTAATCTCAGCAAGTCTTGGTCTAGAGGGTGAGTGGTCAGTAGGTGCCTGCAGTCTACAGGTGACACCTGAGAGAAGAACCACACGCTACAGAGGGAGGCTCAAAACCCAGACCTGCCCATGTGAAAGATTTTCTGAAAAAAACAGACTGTGACTGTGCACTGTACCCAGGGCCAAGTGCTTCAGTTACATTATCATACCACTCTTCACCCTGTGGGGAACATACCACAATTGTCTCTATTTGTCTCAAGTATTCTTCTCTCATTACTGGGACAAAATATCCAACACTCAAAATGAAGGAAGGAAAGGTTTATTTAGCTCACAGTTAGTGAAGGTTTCAGTCCATACTCAGCTGGCTCCAAGGCAGAGTGGCACATGGCAGACAGCAATCATTCAGGGCAGTGGCAAAGAACAAAAGAGCAAAGGGAGAAGCAGCAGCTTAGGCAGCTAGCCAGCCTCTCTCCTCTTCTTATATTGTAATGCAGATTCCCCACCCCCGGGCCTGGGTGTAGCACTCATACCTGCAGTCCCAGCATTGGATCAATAGTCAATCACAAATTCCAGAAGCCACCCCATGACTGCATGAGGCTTTGAGAGACAACTTGACACAAACCATAACACTGTTTCACAGAGGAGTAAACTGAGACTGAGTGAAATGAAGTAACTTCCCCCACTGACACAACCCATGGGCAGTGGTGTTGGAATTTGTCTTTGACACTGTTCACTTTCAGAATCATTCCTCTTAGCCTCTACTGCCAAAGCCAAGACCAAGAATCTAGTGAAGGTTACAGCAGTGGGGGTGAAAGTGAGGAACATTCTCAACAGGAAGGATGCAAGTGCCTGAAGAGAGCACCTGAAGTCAGCTTGCACGCATGTGCTGAGGGGGTCACTAGAAACTGCAGCTGTGGCTGGAATGTGGTTTCTGAGGCTAGAGCAGGGAGGTGTGC